AGTTTGTTTCCTGGGATTTTCAGTTTGTCGCGTACCTGTGTGTTAAGGCTGGGTTCTTTAAGGTTGTTGTAGGCATCTCTGCCTTTAGTGCTCATCTGCCACTAGAGTTTTCACATTTTAATGATATGTCTTTTAATTATGCTATTTCTTTAAGTTTTTCCGAGTCCTACTTCAACTAAAGTATCACATTTAGTTCCCTTTTTTGGCTGCTTGGTCAGCTTTTTCATTACCTCTATCATGCATTATGTGAAAAGATATGGAAATATGGTATTTGGCCAAAAGACTGGAAGAGAACTATCTTCATTCCAATACCAAAAAAGGGTGACCTGAAATTATGTACAAACTATCAAACTATTGCCCTGATCAGTCATGCAAGTAAAATTCTACTAAAAATTATAATGAGAAGACTGCATAAGAAAATGGAAGAAGAGATTAATGTAGCTCAGGCTGGATTTAGACAGGGAAGAGGAACAAGAGATCATATATTCAACATGCGTTTAATAATAGAGAAGTGTAGAGAATTTAATGTAAATCTGTTCTTTTGTTTTGTGGATTATTCAAAAGCATTTGACTGTGTACAACATCAGAAGCTTTGGGAAATCATGAGGAATATGGGCTTTCCATCACATATAGTGCAGCTCATTAAAATGCTCTATCAAGACCAACAAGCAGCAGTCAGAATAGATGGAGAGACATCAGACTGGTTTGGCATCAAGCAAGGAGTCCGTCAGGGATGTGTGCTGTCACCGTATTTGTTCAACCTGTACGCCGAAAATATAATGAGAAATGTAAGAGATGATATAAACAAGGAACAATTTGATGCCCTAAACATCGGTGGTCATGAAATACCAGAAATTCGTTATGCTGATGATACAGTATTACTATTAACATCACAAAATGGTTTAGAAAACTTATTAACCTCACTCCAAAGAAATAGTGAAAATCATAACTTATTTCTTAACATAGCAAAAACAAAGATAATGCATACAAACAAAACTGCCATGGAGAAGGAAATATATGTTAATGAGGAAAGATTGGAAGTGGTGGAAAATTTCGAATATCTTGGGTCACTGGTTACCAACAATGGTGACACAATGAAAGAAATTAAACGGCGACTATCAATTGCTCTTCATAGACTAAAACAACTGAATAAATTATGGAATTGTACAGATAGAATTACAAAGGTCAGATTTTTAAGAGCATGCATCTTTCCCATTGCAACATACGCCTGTGAGACCTGGACACTTACTAAACAAGCGGAACAGCGCATAAATGCATTTGAATATAAATGTTACAGACAGGTTCTAAGAATATCTTGGGTAAAGAAAAGAACAAATGCATCCATACTTCAAGAGCTGAATATTGAAGAGGGTTGGCTAGTAAAGACAATAAAACAAAGAAAATTGAAATATTTTGGTCACTTGAAACGTCATGGAAGTCTAGAGAGAACAATAATGGAGGGGTATATGCCTGGGAAGAGAGGAAGAGGAAGGCCAAGGAGAAGATGGGTGCAGGATGTGGCAGATGATCTCCAGATGGGTGTATCAGACGCAGGACATCTTGCTCAGGATAGGAAGGTTTTCCGGAGGGTTGTTATGGCAGCGAGGTTCCGCGAGGGACATGCTACTGAATGAATGAATGAATTGCACCTCTATGTGCTGGTACCCATGCAATGGTGACTTGGCATCCTTTATTCTTGAGTTGGGTTGTTAGGTTTAGTCAACTATCGACTATTTTAAAACTAATCGCAAAACTCTTCAGTAGAAAAGATAGGAAATTGACATGCGGTATCCAAGATCAACATCCGCAACTTTCATTTCCGGGTCAAACGCATCAACATTTATCGACTGCTAGACAAAATCACGACGACCATCGTGGGGACAGGCCCAGGGCACAATGGCAATAATATCTCTTTCTCAGTCTTTCCACCGTGGTGGACTCATACTTATATACGTTATCATCATCGTCACGTTCATGTTCGGCACTGTAACAGGCGCTGACGCCGAGGATGCCAAAAGAATAACTGTCAGCGAGGAAGAGGTTTCTGAGGAAGGCGCAGTAACCTATGATGAGAAACCTGAGGTAGAACGTCATAACTGTACTTTTTTCTGTAAGTAAATGAGTTGTTTTCGTATTTTTTTAAAATTATCCGTTATATCTGCTTCTCTGTGACGCGCGAGGTTGGTGGTCATGTTATGCCCTCAGTCTCGTGTACTAAGAATAATTTTCTTAAAAAGAAGATGCTTCATGCCATGGTACCAAGAGAGCATTTGACCCAAGGACAGCTAGTTGAATAACACTGCTTTAGACTATTGAAATAACTTCAGAAATAAATTCACAGGGATTCATTTGCCCTTATAGACATACGGGAAGGGAAAGCAAAGTAGTAGGGCACTTGCCTGCCAGCACAAAGGTCCTAGGTTTGAATCCAAGTGCCATCCAGGTGGACCCAGGCTAACTAACATGAGTACTAGGAAATGGTTGGGGGCTCTCCTTGCAGATCCGGACGAGGGTTGGACGACTTAGTTCAGTTGAGTGGGAGTTCTCTCCCTTGGCCGCACTCGAAACAGTGAGCGGAAAAGTCACGAAACAAATGACATACTTACCTATCATCATACGGTTGCGTGTAAGGTTGCGTAGTCATCATACGGTTACGCGAAGGGTTGCCTAGTCATCATACGGCTGCGTGTAGGGTTATACCTATAATCATACGGTTGCGTCTAGGGCTGCGTACGGTGTGGGTTCAGGGTTAGGGTTTAGGGGTAGGTTCAGGGGTAGGGTTAGGGTTAGGGGTAGGCTTAGATGTGACAATTTTGACGTAGGAGTTCCAAATACTTGCCAACAATCTGATGCTTGTGGGAGTGGCGCCACTGGAAGTCTGTCAAATATGACCTCAATAGCACGCAGCTGGTGCCCAACCGGTGGCGACGTGTCCGTGTCAGTAGCATCCACAGTCCGTCGACTGTTTGGGTGTGTATGTGACAGTGGGCGATTATTGGGAATTCCTGCGTCGTCAAAATTATCACATCTAACGCTAAACCTAATGCTAAACCTAACCCCTAACCCTACCCCTAACCCTAACCCTACCCCTAACACAACCCCTAACCCTAACCCCTAACCCTAACCTTACCCCTAACCCAAACCCTACGTAGCCCTACACGCAACAGCATGATGGACTACGCAACCCTTCAGGCAACCGTATGATGACTACGCAACCCTACAAGCGACCGTATGATGACTACGCAACCCTAAACTCAACCGTACGCAACCTTACACGCAACCGTATGATGATAGGTAAGTATGTCATTTGTTTCGAGACTTTTCCGCTCACTGTTTCGAGTGCGGCCAAGGGAGAGAACTCCCACTAAACTGAACTAAGTCGTCCAGCCCGCATCCAACCCTCGTCTGGATCTGCAAGGAGGGTTGGGGAAATAAATGTGACCATTGAGTGCTGACTGGTTTATAAAATAATATGTTGTAGATCTAGAAATATAGGTCTAGCATGGCATGGCATGAAAAGGATCCTCTGTTCTAACACACTATTTTGATTCTCATCATCACTTCTTTTATCATACCAATTGTTTTGTGAAAATCAGAATAAGGCGGGCATACCAGGGACACACCTAACCCTAACCCTAACCTTAACCTTAACCCTAACCTTAACCCTAACCCTAACCTTAACCCTAACCTTAACCTTAACCCTAACCCTAACCTTAACCCTAACCCTGTCTGGCCTTCATGCTAACTAAGTCATTAGAAAATAATTTCCACTCACAAAAATGTAACAGGTACTGATTGTAGTCAGACTAGCCAGTGCTCAGTCCTAACACCAAGCAATCACTGCTTACCCGTCAACAGTACTACACAGAACAAGTGTTCAACATCATGTTCCCACCATGTATTTCAACACAGGAACAGGATGAAAATCACTGGCCAACAATGTCATAGTCACCCGTTCTGCCTTCCACATTGAGAAAGAAATATGGCACCATCTTCTTCTTCTCTTTCACCTTGTACCTCAGCGAAGTGTCAAGGGCAGATGTAACATTCGTTGGTGAGCTCTGTTAAGAGCACCATTAAAATTTATGTTCATTTCTGTAAGGCTATTCTTATTGCCATCACTCCATCTTTTCCGAGGTCTTCCGCTCTGTCTCTACCCATTGTAATTTTTCAGTGTGGCTCGCTTTGGTAGATAGTCTTAGGTGTCCAAACCACTTCACTGGTTTTTCTTTGATGATATTATCAAGACTCACAAAATATTTGTGAAACCTATGTCCCATTTTTCTGCTAGTGACAACGTCAGCAGACTGCGCAGACTCACCTTTCATGATGGAACATGACTGGCCTTTGACATCTCTCTATCTAAGAGATCTTGTCATCGGAGGACTCCAGATATATGCACAAAACTTTGTGGACATATGCTGTCTAGTCACACAAACTACTGGTATCATCTGATACCTGCCTGCATCAGGAACATCCCTATTGGTTAACTTCAGTTCCATCGCCAGTCTCCTTAGAAGATGAAGAAACTTGCCGTCGCTGACCCAGTGTTGCATAGATGTACACAGTGCTAATCTGGCAACACTCAGGTTAGTACTGACACCACAAGACATCTGCAGAAACCAAAGCAGGACCCTGCAGTGATGACCACTACAGATTAGTATGTCTGTTTCTTCAGACTCTTGATGGTGTTTCCCTCTCGACTATGTGGAGTGTTCTGGTTCTAATCTTCAACACATACATTCATTAGTTTTTGTTTGTTCTAAACCACTATGCTTTCTTACTTTGATTCAGTTTATTTAGTTCAATTTACATAACTTGAATTAATATAACTCTAATGAATTTTACTACATATATCCATACATTGACCACAACACAAACATCATCAGTTATCTGCAAAACGATATGCCCACTATGCCTCCAGTGCAGGAACAATTATTACTGCTTTGTATGGCTTCATTTACATCAGTTTTACATTTCCCCCCTTCATATTTTACTAGACAATAACCGCTACCCTGCCCTAGAAGCTGGGCTGGTCAACTGTACATGGTACTCAAATAAAGCCTGCTGCAAGCGTACAGAAGTGACTTCAGTATTTTCTGCAATGGATCCATTGTATAAGGCGACAAAGCTGTGCAGGAATTACATCAATTTTCTCATGTGCTTCTTCTGTAGTCCAGATCAGTACAAGTTCTATAAACCCAATACGTAAGTGTTCATCATCACCATCAAAAGTACTATAATTGGAGTCATCATCTGTATTATCATCATTCTCATCATTATCAATATGATTATCATCCCCTTGTGGGTTCTGGGGCTCTATTTTAGAGAACAAAGAATAGACCTACTGTCCTCTCTCCCCCCCCCCCCCCAAAACTCCCCCAAACAACAATTATGTCATAGTAAAGTAAAGGACCCTTTTCCACTCCTTTCAGGCGTATTGGGTATATAGGGCTAGACCTATATTTTATAGACCAACAAGATGGGTGATGTGGTCAGCATCACGCCGCCCGCCTTTATTTCCCGGGACTGCACCCGGTACCCAATGAAGGCTGGGTCGACCTGGAAATCAAGGTCATTGTCTGAAAAAAGTCCAGCTGCGCCAGGGAGTGAACCCACAAACTTCCGATTCGCAGAAGAGCGTCTAGCCATGACGCCATAGCGACTCCCATGGCATGTCATAGAGGGTGACTGATTATGGGTGTTTCTTTCAAAGTTGGAGTGCATCTGCCTGAGAAATAAGGAATCAACAGTCTGCCTGCAAATAAGTAGGCCCTGTAACATGGATGTGCACTAAAAACTCAAAGCTCTGGATCAAGGCCTTAGTCCAAGAGTGGACGAAGAACCAGAATTTTCCACCAGCATTTACAGCCGGTGAAAGATAAGAAGAAGAATATGATTATCATACTCATCATCTTTATCATCAGCAGCACCATTGTCAGCATCTTCATCAGAAACACTGTTACCAGACCCATCTTCATGATCATGGTCATCATCATCATCATCATCAACACCATCATCAAGCTTATCATCTTTATTAAAATGATTATCCATACTTTCATCAAACTTATCATTGTTAGCAGTTTGTCTTTTGAATCAAAAAGATGAACAACAAAGTTTTCACAAATCTTGTGGTCCATAACTATATTTTTTTATCTCATAAAAACTCAGAAGTGACTGTGGGTACACACACGTGATCTTGGCTCCCTGGTCGACCTAGCCTTAAAGGGGTACCAGGTAAAGTCAGGGGAAGTAAAGTTGGCTGGCTTGATGTTAACCGTGTCACCCACAGAGGGCTAATTGGTCTATACAAATATTAGTTTTGCCTAATATGCCTGATGTTTAAAAAGACCTTTACTTTACTTTACTTACTAATAGCTATCTAGGAATAAAAAATTTTAAAAAGTTACCGTATTTTTCCTGTGTTTAAAATGTCCTTATGTGTAAGATGCACTCTATATTTTCCGCTTAGAATTTAGAAAAAATATTCTAAACAATAAAACAATCCACAATTTTAAACTTAAAATTAGGGGAAACATATCTTCTTATACGTGGAAAATACGGTAACTCTTTGAATATGAAACAACTCACTCGGTCACATCAGAGTGAATAGTTTGTACCTTTGCATCATCATCCCGCAACACTACAGTGGTTTGGTCACCAGTTTCTGTTGACTGTCTGATTAGCTCTCTCCACCTTTGGTTGTCAGTTGCTATGGACTTCATGGTTGCATGCCGAGGCCTGTCCAGTCAGTTAGATTCTGTAACCAGGTATTTCTTGATCTGCCTCTTCTCCTCTTTCCTTCTACTGAGCCCTACAGTATTGTTTTTGAGAGGCCGTTAGATATTATTACATGTCCATTCATTGCATTTTTTTTTTTTTCACTGTAGTTAAAAGAGGTTCATAGTTGCCAATGTGCTGTATAATTTTATGGTGAGCCTCTTCATTTGTAATGCGGTCTCTGAATGATATACCAATAATGTTTCTGAAATATAGAATTTCTAATGCTTGTATCTTTCTTTCAAGTTCAGCTGCTTGTTCTTATACATGGAAAATATGGTAACTCTTTGGATATGAAACAACTCACTAGGTGTTTCTCGGTCACATCAGAGACAATATATTGCTCACTCTATTTAATCATAAAAAAATTGTTGTATTAACCTATTCTATACAGGTTTTTGTGTGGAACGTCTTTAGTTCTGTAGTGTCTTTTTACCTCTTTCAAACTCAGACTAATACTTTTAACCAGAGATTTTTTTCTTGCAGACAGTAAGAAGTGCCAATACCCACCACTGTGTCTATTACAGTAGAGCTAAAAAAAAATATTGCCTTAAAAATAAAAAAGGTGCTAGTAGTGTGTACCGTTGCATACCACAAGAAAAGCTATAAGAAAGAACTGCTTGGGACATAGTGACTATAGGTAAAACTACCTAGTACGTCTGGGTTAATCTGTAACGATTTGACATCTGAGCAATCAGGACAAGCCCATATAAGCTCTGTCCCCCTCCTCAACAGCTAGTGAAGAGTCTCCATATTGATGGTACTCATTGCCATCTGGTTAACTACTTGTCTTGCCTTTCCCTTGAGTCTCACGTGGGACCCAGAGCTCCCAGACAATGCCCGCTGCATCATTCTCTCCAGCTAGGAGTTTTCAGTATTGCCTGGTACAGAATGATTTCATATTTTAAAAGTAGCGAAGTGTACTACAAGTGCTAACAATTTTGCGGCAATATTCTCAGGTAAGAATATTGCTGTATTTCCTCCTTTCAGGAGATATCCCACTGGGACGACTTTTTTTTTTAGGGTTACCGGGTGAAAGGGTCAAAGTAAAGGACCCTTTTCATGCCTGTGCTACAAACCAGTTAATGCTTGAAGTGTGATCTGGTAATCATTGTGCCAGCAACACAGAGGGCATATAGTAAATAAAGGACCTTTTTTCACACCTTCGGGCATATAGGGCTAGCCTGCGTTTTATAGACCAGACAACACTTGTGGTCAACATCAGGCTGGTCACTTTTCTTCCCAGAACTTTTACCTGGTACCCGTTTAAGGCTGGGTCAACCAGGAAACAAAAGTTATTTAAAAAAAATTTTTTTTTTTAAAGTATGGTACCGCCCAGATATGAACTTATGGCCTTCTAATCCACAATCTAATTCTTGTGTGATTCCAGTACTAACCTATGGATGCGAGAGCTGGAAATCAACGAAAACTCTAGACACAAAATTAGACAGTTTTGAAAATAAATGCCTTAGAAGAATACTAAATTTCAAATGGTCAGATTTCTGAACCAATACACAAATAAGGCAAGAATCCAGGCAAGAGTATGTGTCTAATTTTATACGAAAACGCCGCTGGAACTATGTCGGCCACGCCCTTAGAATGGATAAATCAAGACTTCCTTACCAAGCCCTCATTTGGACACCACAGGGGAAAAGATCTCGTGGAAGACCAAGGGAAACCCTACGAAGAACTATCATCAGGGAAGGCTCACTCATGGGCCACTCAAACATCCAAGACCTACAACAGATTGCAACGAACCGCCATGCATGGAGAGTCATGACCTCTGCCCTATGTGCCGCACTCGACACAAGAGGAAAGACTAACTAACTAATCCACAAGAGAGCATCTAGCCACTACACCCTGGTGGCTCCCAAGGCATATAGTGCTAGACCCATGTTTTTACACCCCAGACAGACCGGTTAGCATTCAGTAGGGGAGGTAATCAGCATCATGTATGACACCTTTATAAAGAATGTTGAATTAAGAATCAACATCACATCACTCGGGACAACCCCATAAGCGCTCTGTCCCCATCTTCAGCAGCAAGTGAAGAGTTCTAATTCCGATGGCACCAGTGTCTGATTATATATCCATCTCGCCTCTCCTCTGAGTGCTGAACACTGGCCAGATCCCCTTGTAACTCCTCGCAGAGCCATTCTCCCCAGACAGCTATGATCTATCTATGCCTCCGCACTGTTCAACCGTATGGCACCTTTACTATCCAGGAAAGTTCCTGGTAACTATTTAAAGCTGAATTATCCTGGTAGTGCAGGTCAGTTTTTAAAAAAATCTGCCTTTTGCAGACTCAAATCCAAGACCTTTATTTTTGCAGGTATACAGTTATACGGCTATCATTGCTCCCCAAGACTGAGTACAGGTTTTAGTTTATTTTATGTTTTCATTGTTAAATTTTCATATCTGAATCAGAAAGTAGGCTAGTTTAGCATTGTACTTTTAATTTCTGTATGCACTTTTTTGTGTGACTTTGCAGAAAGGCTATGGTGTGTCTGGATTATTGTGAATCACTGTATGAGGAATGTAAAACGGCTGGATTTAACAAGACTTTAATAGGTAAGCTACATTCTGGATGTCTTCGTTGGCCATGTATATAAAAAAAATTAAATAACTAACTAACTAGCTAGCCAGTTAGCTAACTAACTATCTAACTAACTAACCAGCCAGTTAGCTAACTAACTAACGAACGAACTAACTAACTAACAAGCCAGTTAACTAACTAAACTAAGTAACTAACTAACTAGCAAGCCAGTTAACTAACTAAGTACCTAACTAACTAACTAAGTACCTAACTAACTAATTAACTAACTAACTAACTAACTAACTAACTAACTAACTAACACCATAAATTAATAAATTAAGTAAAAATAAGTACTAATTATACTTTTCAAGCCAGTGATGCATCAGGTAAATGTGCATTGGATGCATGTATATGCTGTTGGTTTTTCTGAGTCTGCAGTCTGTTAATTTTATGTCACAAAGGACAGTGATGGACATTCTGAGTTCTTTTCATTGGCACAGGAGAGGGATGGCGCAACTATGGGATGACTCATTTGCTGTGAAGTTGGAACCGTGTTTACCTGAAACATGCTAGACTCTTATTTAGTCTAGAATAAAGAAGACACAAACAATAGACTGCAACATTTTTTGCCTGGCCTTTTTCGCTATGTTTCATCAGGTGCATGCTACAGTCACAGTTAATTAAATAAATGAAGCAAATAAGTGAATCCTGTATAACAGAAGTACAAATTCAGTCACCTCAAAAGCAGCTGCCTGTTTTACCAGGGTAATTGCATCGTCGCAACCATGTCTTTTTGTTTACAAAGTAGTGCTTCAAGAAATCCTAGTGCTGTTCCATTGGACAACGTATGAAGAATTTGAAATGCACTGGTCTTGTTTACATGCTATTGAAAAGGCATGATCTGTTCACACTCATTGGGCACTGTGATCAAAATCACGCCAGCCACCTTTACATCCATGGACATTTCCTGGTACCTATTTCACTTGAGAGCCAAGGTAAATTAAGAAGAAATCCAACACAGATTCTTCTTCTTCGTATTTACTGACTGTAATCTCCAGCAGAAGGATTTGGTTGTTCATTCTCTTTGCATGTCCAACGTGCTGTAAAAACACAACTCTTAACTCATATTATCCAAATATCATGTTAATTACTACTTTAAAAACATGAATTATAGTGTAATATTCAAATGTCATGTAAATTACTACTTTTACAAGTTAAATTATAATGTAATATTCATGATGAAGAGATCTGTTCTATCTATTGTCTTCTTCACTTTTACTGGGTTGCAGCCCAGTGTCGTGGTTTAAAATATTTGTTTTGTGCCTCTCCCGTGATTTGAGTGACAGTTTTCTGTATCTTCTGGTCGTATTCAGCTACTCTATCTATCCATTTTTTCCTGGGTCTTCCTCTGGCCTTTCTTCCCGATGTTCTACTGTAAAAGGCCTTATAGGCAATCTGATCCGGTTGCATTCTTACTAAATGGCCAAACCACTTCATTCTCTGTCTTTCAATATGTTCCATGCATGCTCTTGTTCCAACTTTGTCTCTAATGCTGACGTTTGTGACTCTGTCTCTTCGTGTATTGTTGGTGACTCTTCGGAGACATCGCATTTCACACATAGTTTTTTTTTGCATATGTGATTTGTTCATTGTCCACGTTTGGCACTGATAACATAACGTAAGGATGAAAATGCTGTTGATCATCCGTTGTTTGGCTGGTAACGAGATCTTTGGATGACGAAGAAGTGGGGCCAGTTGGTAGTTGACTGCATTGGCTTTTTGAACTCTAGCCTGTATCTCTTTATCGAGTCTTCCGTCTTCTGTAAATATGCATCCTAAGTACGTGAATTCTTGAACTTGTTCTAATTGTATGTCATTGATCTTTATGTTTACATTACTGTGTTTCTTTCCTATGGTCATTAATTCAGTTTTTGAGGTGTTTATTTTCATGTCAAATTTTGTACAGTTAGTGAGCAATGAATCAACATGTTGTTGTAGTTTTTGTTCTTCTTGTAACAAACATTGGTCATCTGCAAAGAGTAGTTCATTTATAATATTTGTGTTTTGGTTTGACTCCTGTGCAATTTTATCCATATATGTGATGAAGAGTAGGGGTGATAGGACACATCCTTGTCGTACTCCTGATGTAATGGGGAACCAGTCTGTCATACCTTCCGTTGTTCTTTCAGCGCTCTGGCTATTTTGATAGAGAGCCATTATGTTTCTCAATAATTGACCTGGTTGTTACTTAATTGAGGTTCTAATATCACCCTCGCTCTTCGTTCTAATATTTTTGCAAACATCTTTCCTACATGGCTTTGTAAAGAGATACCTCTGTATGCTTCACAATCTCGTTTATCACCTTTCTTCTTCCATATGGGAACTATAATTGCTCTCTGCCAGTCAACGGGAACTTTCATTTCCTCCCAGGCCATATTGAATATTCTTGTCAGCCATTTTACTGCTGTTGCCTTTCATGCAAGTATTATGTCTGTTGTAATACCATCTCTTCCGGCCGCTTTGTTTCTTTTGCTTTGCTCTAGGATCTTTCCAACTTCAGATTCTAATATATTAGGTTCTTGTTCTTGTCCAAATTTTATTTTATTAGACACTGGTTCTTGTGGTCCACTATTCAGTAATTCAGAAAAATATTCTTGCCATCTTCTTTTAACATCTTGGGATTTGGTGAGTGGTTTTTTAGCCTTGCTGTTTATGATCTTTGATGGGTTAAATTTCTCTTCTCTCAGTCTCATAGCCTTGATGCTTCGGTAGAACTGACCTGATGAATCAGTGCATAGCCTTACTAATTGTTCTCCGTAGTTTGCCCATGATTCTGATTTCTCTGAATTTACTTTCCTCTTGCTCTTTGCTCTTGCTTTTCTATAATTGATGTAGTCCTCATCTAATTTGGACTTTTGCCACTGATGAAAATATTTCTTCTTTTCTTTGATAGAAATTTTAACTTCTTCATTCCACGATGCTGTTTGTTTGAGATCTGTTGAAACCCAGATATTTTATGCTTTATAGATTACGCAGAAGCATGTGATAAGGTAAAACATGAGGAACTTGGCAAAGTGTTGACCTATGTTAACATTGATGGAAAAGATCTCAGAATAATGAAGAATATTAATTGGAAGCAAATGGCAGCTATTTTTTTTAAATATTTTTTTTTATCGATCACCGGCTGTGAATTCCAGTGGAAGGTCCCGGTTAATCGTCCGCTTGGACTTTTGGCTTTCACCTGGACCTGATTTTTGCGTGTACAACAGTTTTTCATTTCCCTGCCTCATGGGCAGCTGTACTCCGACTTCGAAGGAAGACGTCAGGCCTATTTCTAGGTTGACTGTGGCCATTGTTTTGTGTGGGTCGTGACGTTGCCTGATTTGTGTGGTGACCACTTTGTCCCCTTCGCCGCAGGTATTGCTCTCGGAGTACCCCTTTGGGGCAGCCCCCTGTGGAACAGTTAGCCCTCAAGGGAAGGCAGGGGCAGATCATGGGCATTCCCCGCCATCCAAGGAGGCTTCCATGCATGCAGAGCCGGCACATGGCGCTCTGGTTCTGGGCTCACCCAAGGAATCGTCACGTCCTGCACATGCCTGCTTAACCTCACAACCGTATCAGGCCTCCCGCTCGACAGGTGCTGCGCCCTCTGGAAGTCAGCGGGGAGCAGCCGTGGGTTTTGGACTTTTGAGACCACACAGATAGGTACATTTTTTTTTTTTTTTCTCGCACGTTAGATTTCTTTGACGAGCCGTTAGCCCGACAGAATTTTACATCCTGCATTAGGCATATCGTTATCAGTTTTGTCCCAACACTCGGGTGAGTGGGGTCTTTGGGTGTGGACATTCGGTCTTTTTCAGTTCAATACACATTTTGATGGTCAGATTTTGATCCGTATGATCTAGTTTTGTCGGACAATTAGGCTTAGCCATCCGATGGTTGGTTGCTGTTGTGGTGTACCTCAGCGCGGTGACGACGACACTGAGGGTTCACCGGGGATGTACATGAATGGTCAGCCTATGGATGGTTGCTGTTGTGGTGTACCTCAGCGCGGTGACGACGACACTGAGGGTTAACCGAGGATGTACATGGATGGCCAGCCTATGGATGGTTGCTGTTGTGGTGTACCTCAGCGCGGTGACGACGACACTGAGGGTTAACAGAGGATGTGCAGTGAACAATGTTCTCTTTACTCCGCAGTCTTTTAACCAAGGGTTGTAATTTTGGCTGTACGTTTGGCAGACCTACTCATGTTCCTAATGAGTTTTGGTAACATTTTTCACCCAAGCGTTTGGGGGCGGGCTGATGAGAGCCACAAGGACACATCACCTCTGGGGGCCGCCGAACTCCGAGATCCCCTGACAGCTCTGTTAATGCTCATTTGAGACATTATCCGTGGCGCACGACGAGGACGTGCTGTAGGGGTCTTGCGTGAGGTTCCGTACAACCAGGATAGTAAAGGACTGGCGCCCGAGTGACGTACGGAGTATCTCCTTATACACATCAAGTTGGACTTAACTTCCCCTCACGCCTGTGACATAAATCACCGCGCCACAAATGGCAGCTATTAAAATGGGAAATAGAATGGGCACATATAAACATATCAGACAAGGGGTAAGACAGGGATGTGTTTTGTCAACTGAACTCTTCTCTCTCTATAGTGAGATGATATTGAGAGAGATCAAAGATACACACGGAACTAGAGTATCAGGGCATCAATTCTCGTTATGCCTAGTGGCACATGAGGCTTCAGAGAGGACTTTCCATGCTTTCCTGTCCTGTGCAATCTTCAGTGCAAAAGGAACTAGAGTAGGAGGTTATAAAATAAACGACATACATTATGCAGATGATACAGTATTGATAGCTGAAAATGCAGATGATCTTCAACAGTTATTGGACACTGTAATAAGGGAGAGTGCACAAAAACGGTCTGTCTTTGAATATAAAGAAAACTGAGGTAATGGTTATATCAAGGAAAAAAAAACATCACAGTGTGATATTAGAAAAATAGGTTTAAAAGTCTATCCAAGTCGATAAATTCAAATATCTGCGACAATCATAACTTGAGATGGAAGATGCGTGTCAGAAATAAGAGCAGAATAGACCAGGCTAAGGCTGCATTTCACAGAATGAAGATCATCTCATGCAACAGGTCCCTCTCTTTAAATGTCAAAAACAGCGTACTAAATATTATTTGAAACCTATATTGCTGTATAGCAGTAAAGTATGGAGTGTGAGTTGAGTGCACAGATTTGAAAGAACCTGGAGGCGACCGAGATATGGTTCCTGAGAGGAATGTTAAGAATCCTTTGGACTGCCAGAGTAACTAACAAGGATTGTTTGAAGGTAGCTAATGAATGCAGATCAATATATACAGCTATAATGACAAGACAAGCACTGTTCTTTGGTCATGTGATGAGGGAGGATGACTTTGGGGAATATTGTGACATCTGGGAAGATCAGCAGTAGAAAGAGAGGCAGACCAAGAGAGATGATGATGGATGGATTGCAAAAGTAGTGGTGGAACTGGTTCAGAAGACAAGAGACCAACATCTGTGGAGATGTGTGAACACCTATGCCGGTCGGCAGGGCACGTGATGAAGATGATGAATATTCAATTATCAAATAAATTCCTACTTTTAAAATATGAATTATAAAGAAGTATTCAAATGTTGTGTAAATTAAATCATTAAAAAATATGTATTATCAAGTCATTTAAATATCATCAGGGGAAGCATACGCAAACGGAACAGCTTTCTGTGCTGCCCAGAATTTTCACGTTACGGAGAATGCAGACTGCTTCAAGTTTGATCCAACAGTATTCGACCAATCACACAGAGTTTCTTCAGTGTCTCTCCATCTTCTAGTGGTTGTTGTGTTTTTTCTGTCAAAGGCTGTGTCCAGTATCTCTGTCATTTGAGATGTGAAATTTTGTGATTTTAATATTGACATGATATAAAAAGAGGGTGATAGTAAACTGAAATGCAGAGAAAGAAAAAAAGAAACACTGAGATTCCTCCAAAGTAAAATTAGGCAACATTTTAGCCTTTCAGTTCCCTGCAACATATGATTATTTATAGATTATTTCACATTAATCCGGCCATATACTATATCTTCACTCCCATTTTACTATCTGCCAGAGGAAACTAAAGAAATCTGGCTTTCCTGTGGGGTACTTCCGCTGCATATCCTGTTGAAAAGTTAAGTATTTGTGACTTTTCATAGTGGTTATTGTTTCCTTGAGCATTTGCTGCGGAACCCCCCCCCCCCCCCTTTTCAAATGAGTACCAGGAAATTTCCTGGGAAGTAAAGGCTATTGCTCAGTTGGTAAATACAGAAATGTGTCTGCCACTAGTAGCATATACAGGGTCCTTTGCTTGTTTTTTTTTTTTTTTTTTTAAATAAATTCAAGAAGGGACTTAATTCCATACCTTGTGGTAGTAGGGTCCTTGCCTCATATTTTTCCTCTGGCTCAAAGACCCTGTCTCCACCTACACAGCAAAAGTGGTAAATACATGCAGTAGGTAGGTAGTTGTACCCTACCAGGACATGATACAAGCGATAAACACCCAATGACACAAAGTGCCACCATGCGTTTGAGGGTCACCCATGGAGAAGTCCCATAAACCTCTTTCAGCTGTTAGGCCATATCTATGGCTAGGCCATATTTATGGCCCGGCTATATTCAGAGTATGGCTTTAAAATAAAATAAAAAATGCTTCTTATGAGGGGGCGACTAGTTATATAGTAACATTCAGTAATTAATAACTAGCAGTTAACTGAGTGTTCTTCTTAAGCAAATTTGTGTTAACCAGGTTTTACTGTGTAAAGATGTTTGCTGTGTAAAGATGTTTTACTGTGTAAAGATGTTTGCTGTGTAAAGATGTTTTACTGTGTAAAGATGTTCCAGAAGAAGATGACATTCTTGTATTAGAACAAACATTGGCTTTTCAACTTGAATTCTTCTTCTTCACATGTCCCACAACAAAATGTTGGTCACTGTGATCAAAATCATGCCAGCCACCATTACATCCGTGGACATTTCCTGGTACCTAATTCACCTGAAAGCCAAGATAAATTAAGAAGTAATCCTACAGAGATTCTTCTTTTTCACGTTTACCTGCTGGAAACTCCAGCGGAAAATTCTCATTGTTTGGCCACCACTATACTCTTAGTCTTGTTTCAGAACCTGAGCATTGCGTGCACATCCGTCTTCCATATCTGACTTATGTGTATGCAGATTGTTGGTTCCTTGCCTCTCAGACAGATGCTTTCCGACTTCAAAGAAATCCCCCGGTTTGTCGACTCTTATGACATGCTTTTTGGGGACGCAGTGGTTCTGTTTTTGTTTTCCACGCAATTGGGTCCCAGTATCCACAGGGAGTTTGTACTTGAATAAATGTTGCTTGTTTTATGTGCAAATAAGACATCCCTGATAAAAAAAAGCCATATAGCACCTTTTTGAGCACACAAAAAATTTAAAAAAATAAGCTCCTATCTAATTTTCAGGGAAGCACAGTAGTTATCTCTTTCTGTTCTAGAATTTCTTCACTTTTACCTAATACATGTTTGGGTCAGAATTAATTATAATGATAACACTACAACAGAGATGGAATTAAAGTAATGTCTGGAGCAGTGGAATTTTATATAAGGAGATAAGAAAATATATAATGTGAGTCGACTCCACAAATGCATGGTGCATTTCTGATAATGAATTACTAAAACAGTAAAGATTGTCTCATGGCAGATACTCCCTGTGTGGATTCTGTGGGATCCCAATGGGTGGGGGTTAATAATCCCACTGCCGCTAACAAGTATGTTGTAAAAAAGCAGCTAATTAGGAATTTTCTAGAATTCAAAGTGTTGGACCAAAAGCAGATGTTACAACCTAGTTGTAAACCACAAAACAATGTGCTGACCTCCCTTTTAGGGAGGAATGCAGAAAAAGATAAGACAGATACTGTCATTGAAGTGTTAACCATTAGTTCTAAGGCTTTCACATTTTCTAGTACATATGTATGAAATATGTTGTCTCCGGGTTGTGTGTGACCTCTGTTATTAGCTTAATTGTGACATGGTGCAATTCCAGTTTTTATTTTTATTGCTTTCTATGCTGGTCTTTTATCCTTATGATCACAATACACAAATTGTTTAACCTTATGTACTTTAGCAATTGTTGCCTGAGCTGTCCCAGTGACAGTATGTGTAAATAATATGGCAATCAATCACTTTTGGGTTTCTTCTTTGCGGTTCATTGACTGTAAATTGTGATAAGTTCTGATTATTTGTCCATTTTTGGACTTTAGTCTTGTTTCAGAACGTTTTACATTCATATTTGTTTGACCCATCTGGCTTATGAGTGTGCAGACTGTTGGCTCCTCATTTATCAAACAGATGCACTCTGACTTCAAAGGAAACACCCCTACTTAGTTGACTTTACGACATGCTTGCTAGGGGGTGGGGGCAGTGGGTCTATTCTCCCCCCACACAGTGGGGCCCCAGAAACCCACACAGGGATCTTTTAGGTTTGATATGGCTGTTCTAGACCAAGACATCTTCAGGTCGGGAAGTCTTCTTCATCTTCATCTGGCACTCATAGAAAGAAGTAGAGACACAGAAGAATATTTAGACCACACGAAAATTGAAATTACTGGGAATAAAACCTGTTATCTTCAAATGATGATAGCACCTCACTGTTCATTAATGCCTTGAAAGCAGGTGAACCTGATTATTTTACTTCTTGCATTGTTTCTTTTTTGGTGTGTGTGTCCAGATTGACATTTCTATTTTATTTGCTTGAAATCTAATTCACACAACATTTCGCAAACTGGCATTCCATTTGTTATTGACAGTTTCGATTATTTCTGTAATATTTACATTTGTATCTACATATTTTCGATAAAGATAAAAAAGGATTGCATCAGGGATGTGTCTTATTTCCAAACTTTTTAAACTTATTAGAAAAAACATTTCAAAATAGGTTGGGGAATTGCCTGGACTGAATATTAATGGAAGAATGATGCACAATCTGAGATACGCTGATGACACAGTGTTATTAGCAGAAAGTGAGCAGGAGTTACAGAACCTAATGGATCAAATCAGAAAGTAGAGTATAGTTTAGACATTGGCACTCGAAAAACAAAAACTATTATCATTAACAAAAGAATGGAGCAATAAACATTGAACATCACAGTAAACAGAGAGGTATTAGAACAAGTAAAATGGAGCAACAAACAATGAACGATGATGGCGGAAGTGAAACATAAAGAAAAGGAAAATAGGAATGGCTATATTTATCTTCAGTTATAAAGGAAAAAATGACAGCTAAAAAGATAAACAACACATTAAAAATGAAAATCAGAAATTTGCTGTGTATACTTAACCCAGCTGTATGTTGCAGAAACCTGGACATTGAACAAGCAACTAGAAAATCGAATTGAGTCTCTGGAATTGTGGGTATACAGTAGATTAGACCATATTTCAGGGAAATACATGGGATACAAAGCTTCTTGAGAAATACAAATGAAAAGAGTTACTGAAAGTAATACGAAACCGATAATTTAAATATTTTGGCCACAGAGAAAGACATAATACTCTTTAAAAAAATCACACTGGAAGGAAAAGTTGAGAGCAAGAGGCAGCCAGTGATACAAACAGGAGGACAACATCAAGAGATGGATGAACAGTAATTTGATATATACCGCATCAAAGAACAAACTACACAGAAAAACAGACCACATATAAAAACACAGAAAAACAGACCACACATAAGACCAGACCACACAGAAAAACAGGTCCCACAAAAATACACCACATATAATGACAAATGACATAAAAGAGAAGACCCTGATAAAAACAGACCACACAGAAAAAAACAGTCCACACAGAAAAAGCAGACCACACAGAAAAAGCAAACCACAGAGAAAAAACAGACCACACAGAAAAAGCAGTTCATGCAGAAAAAAAACAGACCACACAGAAAAGCAACCACACAGAAAATAGAGGCCATACAGAAAAAAGAGGCCACACAGAAAATAGAGGCCATACAGAAAAAGCAGTCCGTGCAGAAAAATCAGACCACACAGAAAACACAGACCACACAGAAAAAGCAGACCATACAGAAAAAACAGACGACACAGAAAAAGCAGACCACACAAAAAAAACAGACCACACAGAAAAAGCAGACCACACAGAAAAAAAAAGACCACACAGAAAAAGCAGACCATGCAGAAAAAGCAGACCACACAGAAAAAACAGACCACACAGAAAAAACAGACCACACAGAAAAAGCAGACCACACAGAAAAAACAGACCATGCAGAAAAAGCAGTCCATGCAGAAAAAAACAGACCACGCAGAAAAAGAAGTCCACACAGAAAAAGCAGTCCACACAGAAAAAGCAGCTCATGCAGAAAAAAAACAGACCACACAGAAAAAGCAGACCACACAGAAAAAACAGACCATGCAGAAAAAGCAGTCCATGCAGAAAAAAACAGACCACGCAGAAAAAGAAGTCCACACAGAAAAAGCAGTCCACACAGAAAAAGCAGCTCATGCAGAAAAAAAACAGACCACGCAGAAAAAGCAGTTCATGCAGAAAAAAACAGACTACGCAGAAAAAGCAGTCCACGCATAAAAAGCAGACTACACAGAAAAAACAGACCATGCAGAAAAAGCAGTCCACGCAGAAAAAGCAGACCACACAGAAAAAGCAGACCACACAGAAAAAGCAGACCACACAGAAAAAGCAGACCACACAGAAGAAAACAGACTACACAGAAAAAGCAGACCACACAGAAGAAAACAGACCACACAGAAGAAAACAGACCACACAGAAAAAGTAGTTAATGCAGAAAAAGCAGACCACACAGAAAAAGCAGACCACACAGAAAAAACAGACCACACATAACTTGTCAGCAAA